GATCTTTCTTACCTACTCTGCCCTAGAAGCTAATTTGAAAGAAAATGATTTGAGAGGTTTCTGTTCAAAGGCATACAACATGGGAATAGGCCTAGTTGCCAACTTTTCTTTTTTAATTCTTACATTAGTTTTTTAAAACATTTCAGGTTTTTAAACACTTGAAAATAAATTAATATAGTTTAATATAGATTTCTAACTATAGTTTATTCTTCTAAATGGTCTCATCTTTCATCTCTTCAAAATCATAAAACTTGGCGTTTAAGTGGAATATCGTGCTAAGATTTCACTTATATGCAGAATCTAAGGAACAAAAACAACAAACTAATCAAAAACAGACTCACAAATATAGAAGACAATCTAGTTATAGGCAGAGGGGAGGGGGGTTGGGAGGCTGGAAGAATGGGGTGAAGGATTAAAGAAGTACAAATTATTAGTTGATAGATGTCATGGGGATGGGGAGCACAGCATAGGGAATGCAGTCAGCATTAATGTAATGGCTAGGTGGGGAGCCAGAGGAGAGAAAGAGCAATTAGGGGAATTGTTTTATAAACTATATAGATGTCTAACTAATGTACTGTATACTTGAAACTAATAATAAAATGAAATAAAATAAAGTAGAATATTGTGCATGAATAGGCCCTGAGCGGAAAGTTGTAGCCCAGTAGGTCTATTGAAAAATTACACAAAATTTGCTTTTAAATTGCTTTTCCTCTCCTCATTTAGGAGATGCATTTTTAGCTTGTTTTAGTTATGTGCCTAGCTAGCTTCTCTTAGATATTTGCAGTGAATGAAAATTTTCTCTGGTCAAAGTTTTGTTAGTAAACAAATTAGCTTTCAATAAGTTACATCAGAATTTGACAAAACCAAGTTTTATTAAGTTCATGTTTTTTGAAAAGCAATTAGATGTTGCAATTCGATGCCGGCTCTTTTCTGTATACAGATTTTATACCTTTTTTTTGCAATCATAAAGAGATATTGAACATTCCATATATAAAATTTAAATGTTTAGTTTCAGAAATAAAGATTAGATGTTAAATTTTTTATTTTATTAAGGTAAAGATAATTAATTAGGGCTGTTCATTATAAAGTTCATTTTTTCAAGAGAGAAGACAAGCCATAGGCTGAGAGAAAAATTTTTAATTATTATTATTTATCTGATAAAGGACTATTACCCAAAATATACAAGTGGCTCTTAATATTCAGCAATAAGAAAATGAACAACTCAAATGAAAAATGGGTAAAAGACCTGAACAAACACGTCACCAAAGAAGATATATAATATCTTAGTTGACTTAGGCTGCTATAACAAAATACCATAGACTAGGTGGTTTAAGCAACATATTTATTTCTTATTGTCCTTGAGGCTGGGAAGTCTAAGATCATGATGCTGGTAGATTTGGTTCCTGGTGAGGACCCTGTTTCTCGCTTACAGATGGCCACCTGCTTTCTGTGTTCTCACCATGGCAAAGAGAGAAAGAGCTCTGCTCTCTCTTCCTCTCTTTATTAAAGACACTAATCCCATCATGGGTATCCTATGTTCATGACTTCATCTAAACGTAATTACTTGACAGTGGCCCCCACCTCGAAATACTATCATTGGGGATTAGGGCTTCAATTTAAGAATTTTGGGGGGAAACGAACCTTAGTCCATAATATATAGATGACAAGCATATGAAAGATGCTTAACCTCATATATCGTTAGGGAATAGCACATTAAAACAACAAGCTACCATTACACACTTATTATAATGGTGAAAATCCAAAACACCGACACCATCACATGCTGGTAAAGATGTGGAGCAACAGGAACTCATTCATTTCTGGTGAGAATGCAAGATGGTATGACCACTTTGAAAGACAGTTTGGCAGTCTCTTACAACACTAAACATATTCTCACCATACAATCCACCATTCCTTCTCTTGCTGTTTACCTAAATGGGCCGGAAATTTATGTCTACACAGAAACTTGCACAAGAATGTTTATAGCAGTTTTACTCATAATTGCCAAAACTTGGAAGCAGCCAAGATGTTGTTGACTGTAAACAAATAGCCAGATACTTTTCCAGCAAAATAGGCTTATTTGGCAACGACAAAGAATTGCTGTTCAGTACCAGCAAGAACAGAGAAGGAGAGGAATGCTTTTTTATGGGCTGGGGAGGGGCTGTTGTAAACTAAAAGTCTTTTGGAGGAAACCGGAAGTTCGAAGTATGGTGACTTTTCATTGGCTGAGATGGCTGTCTTCCATTGGCTGAGCTGTTACTGGGCAAGGAGGAATCCTTGCTTCTTTTTGCTGAGGTGGTAAAGTAGTATCACTTTCTGTTGGAGATGCAAGGCATGGCTCTGTAGGGTCAGTAGTGAGTGAGAGTTCTCTCTTCTCTGGATTCCATTTTAAATGAGGTTTCTGTTTATTTTCATAATGTCTTTTAGTAGATAAATAATCTGTGGTACATACAGGAAATGGAATAATGTTCAATGCAAAAAAGAAATGTGCTTGCAAACCATGAAAAGATATGGAGGAACCATAAGTGCATAATGCTTAGTGAAAGGGGCCAATGTGAAAAGGGGCCAATTACATACTGTATAATTCCACCTATGTGACATTCTGAAAAGATAAAACTATGGAAACAATAAAAAGATCGGTGGTAGCTAGGGGTTAATGGGGAGGGAGGGATGAATAGTCAGAATATAAAGGATTTTTAAGGCAGTGAAACTATTCTGTATGGTACTGTGATGGTGTATACATGTCATTATACATTTGTCAAAACTCTTGGAATGTAGAGCATCAAGAGTGAATGTTAATGTAACCTGTGGCCTTTGGGTGATTATTATGTGTCAGTACAGCATCATTAATTATAAAGAATTTACCACTCTGCTAGGGGTTATTGATAATAGGGAGGTTGTGTATATGTAGGGGCAGAGAGTATACGAGAACTCTGCTTTCCATTCAATTTTGCTGTGAACCTAAAACTGTTCAAAAAAATAAAATATATTAAAAATTTTGTGTAATGGAAACAAAGACTCTCATTTTAGCCATCAGGTCAAATCTTTTGACACCAGCTGATCTCCTGCAATTCAGTTCTGACACTAATCACCCCAAATTATTGTCAGACTCCACAGGTGTAAAGGCATGGTCCCCAACAAGACTGCTACTACTTTAGAACTTTAGACATGACACTAGCTGCAAGTCAGGTCCCAAGGCTACCCACAGTTCTGTCTAACTGGCTACAAATCGGGGGCATGGCGGGGGGTTCCCAAGACCCCCCCCTCACAAGACTGTCCTCACTTCGGATGCCAGTTGCAAGTTCAGAGGTCTTCAGGCCACTTACACTTCTGACCAATTGGCTATAAATCTGGGGCTTTTCTATGAACCCTCTCAAGTTTAATAATTTGCTAGAATGACTCATAGAACTCAGGAAAGTGCTATACTTACAATTACAGTTTTATTATAAATAATATAAATTAGGACCAGTTAAATGAAGAGAGAGGTCTGGAAGGGTCCTTAATGCAGAGCCTCATGCCCTCTCCTTGAAGAAGCAGAGCACATCACCCTCCTGGCACATCAGTAGATTAACTAACCAGAAGCTTCTCTGTGCGCTGGTGTCTAGAGTTTTGATTAAGTATTGGCCACGTGATTGAACTATATTTCTAGCCTTCCCCATCTCCTCAGAGGTTGGGCTGGGCCAAAGTCCTTAATCACATCTAGTCTTTCTGGTGACCAGTGTCCTCTTGAGCCATCTTGTTAGCATAAACTCTGTTATGAATCAAGGGGGACTTATCGAAAACATTCCTGTTACAGAGGAAATTCCAACGGTTTTAAAAGGTCCCTGCTGGGAACCCAGGACAAGGAAAAAAACATTATTATACAACACCACATTTTTTTTTTAATGTTAGCCTTTGAGAAACCTAATAGATTTTTTTTTTTAATTTTGAAAATGTACCATAGAAAACTGAGGTGACTGAAAAGTATTTTAAGTTTAGAAGATTTAAAAGCAATAACTGATTAACTGATCACTGTATTAATCCAGTATTTTAATTATGTCAGCAGAAGAATGTCCAGCCTATAGAAGAGTCTTAATAGGAGTTTATTTGAGCCAAATTTTGAGGACATGCCCAGAAGCATGGAGAATGGCAGTTTTTTGCAGTTCTTCTGCATTTAGAATCAAGGGAGAAAACATAAAGGAAGGTTATGGAAAATCCACTGATGGTAGATTAAAGAGATTGGAGAAAGCAAATTGGGGAAATCTCTTGAATTGGATAAAATGCAGAATTGAGAAATATACTTTTACATTGGTGGGTACAGGATAGTTAATAATTTAACATTTACAGTACATAGGGGTTATATGTGAGGAACAAGATAAAAATGAGGGGTTCTGTGGTGTCTTGCTCTCGTGGTCTTGTGCTCTACTGCCTGTGGTTATGTCTTCAAGGGGGCTGGAAAAGAAAATTACTCTGACAACCTATATACATAAGAACAATGGACAGAGTTCATGTAATATAAAGATCGATCTTGCTGTAGAAGCTATAGGCCTGGGAAGTGACTACCTGCCATGGCTTGCCCAGTTAGGGATTTATGATCAGATCATCCTGTGTGGCTACTTTTGGTCACTGAGCTTTAAGGCCTGCCATGTGGCCCTCCTGAGTTTGTCAGGTTTATTATACAACCCCTTTTTTGGTTCACAATTATTTAGATGTTATAGATCTTTAAATCTTTATACATTATTGCAGTTTGAATTTTATGTTTATGATTTTGATGCATAAATGATTTCCCTTTGGTAAAAAGGAGAGAGAAATTTACTTAGAAAGATGAGCCAGTAGAATAACATACGAGCATTTCCAGTTTTTACTCAAATTGTCAAAATAAACAGATGACTTTTGACAATTTTTTTTCCTGGGCTCTAGGTTATTTCATTGGACTCATTTTTTCTCTCTAATAGCAAGTTATTTTAGAGTGTGAAAGTGGTTTCTTCAAGGAAGTGCTTAGTTCTGTTTTTCTCTTGCAGATTGATTATACTGGAATAGACCCTTCCAGTCCCTGCAATAAATGTTTGTCTCCAGATGTGACACCATGTGTTTGTGCCATTAACTTCACATTGGAACAGTCATTTGAGGTCTGTACTCCCAAGTAATGTGTTAGAAAAGTTGCACTTTAAAAAAATATTGATATTGTATTAATTTTTTTACTAGTTATTTTCTTTTTGTAGAGAAGTCATTTTAATTTATTAGAGTCCATGTACTTTTGAGGAAGATTGTTTTGTTTGGCTGTTGCATTATGCTGTCTGGTAATTAACTTTGTGTATTAGTTTGTTTTAGTTAGTACTTTATAAACTAAATTTAAAATATCGTATTTTATCCTCTCACTGGAAATTTGATTGTACAAATCCATTGTGATAAAGTTTATATCTACATTTACTTCGATTTTAAAAATTATTGTTCAAATTGTTTTGCCTACTTTTAATACTAAAACAAATTTTACTTTAGAAAAAAATACTAATTCAACTATCAATTAATTGTACCATTTTTCTATCAGATATGAACCATTACCATAAAGCAAACACTTAGTAAAAACTTACTGATCTTTTATGTTTTGATAAACAGAACATCTCTTTTTGTGTGGTCTGCATTCACATTTTTTTTGTCATTCTTTTTGCATTCACACTACTTTGTCTTTCTTAGAAAATGAGCAGATGCTAAAGGACATAAATTCAAAATAGGGATGGCAAGACCAATATCTGCTCCTCTTTATCTGAAAATTGAGCTTATAAATTATTGTTTTATTCAGGGAGCAAAAGTGCTTTAATACATGCCATCTTTTTATATTTTTCTATATTGTAGAATTTTCTTAAGGGTAGTTATGACATTTGTACTCACTGGTAGATGGTTGCCATCTACTGGTTGTAGATGCTCTTGCACTAAAATAAAAGAACATAAGATTGCTTTTAAAAAGAAAGAAAAATTTGGGACAAGACAGAAACTAATTTTTTACTTTGTTTCAGCAGAAATAACATATACATTTAAACAACCATACAAATTCTATTCTTTTTCAATGTGCTGAACAAACTATAAAGTTGCATTAAGTTTTTTTTTTTTGGTCAGGACAGGCAGAATTAAATACATGAAAGAGACTTGTATTGATTTGAAAGCTCCATTAATTTCCTCCCCCATTAAAAAACAGTTGTTTCAGAACTTTTCTTCTGCAAAGGTGATCACCTTCAGATTCATTCTTTTGTGGGCTATGTGTTTTTTAACAAGCGAAAACTTTGAATTGGACTAAAGCCTTTGCAGAGAACTTCAAGTAAGTTATTTTGTCTCAGTATTCATTGAAAGGATCTCTTTTTCAGTTTGTAAGTTGAATTTACTGTACTCTTTAATTGAGAATGATACTCTTTTTTAAAGCGTGTTCTTTGTCTGTTTCTGTGATATAATTTTGGTAACCCAAAATGAGTAAATAAATAAGTGGTTTCCATGTAAGTGTTGTTTTTATATAGCATGGTTAAATTTGTATAAACCTGACATTTGAAAATCAAACTTTATATAAATGATTATATATATGAAAATAGCAAATTAAGTAAAGCATACTTAAAATGTTATTGAATTCCTTTTTTCCTTAAATTCCTTTTAATTGAGGATAGCTTATAGATGGTAGAGGTAGTAACCATAAAGGAGAAAATAGCTTCATGTTTTTGCTACCTCTAAAAATCTTTCCCAAGTTATTTCTAAGTGTCTTCACTGAACACATTAAAATACTTTTTTTGATTATTACACAGTGACTCATTATCTGAGATAATTTACTGATTATTAATTACTAATATTACATAGTATCCTATGGAGAAATTTATTGTGTCCCAATTCAAGTTCAGAATTATTTGGGCAGTAAATGAAGGTTTGACCATTATCCTCCGAAAAGTTAATTGGGTTTAGAAAAAAATTTAAATTGAAAGTAGATGAGAATAGGGTTTTTAAAAATAATCTGACAAATACTTCTTTGAAGCCTTTAAGGATATTTTCAGAGTTCACGCTTAGATTTTTGTAACATACCTTCTTTAACCTTGCTTAGAATTTGTACTGTTTTAGATTGCTAAGTAGTGGTAGAATTCACTCCAGCACCTGTTTTAAGTTTTCAAAAATTCTGAACTAGTAAAGTCTAAAATTTAATAGCTTTTATGTGTGTATGACATAGTTTTATACTTAACAGTTTTATATGGAATTTTTTCCTTTTCTATTTCTCTAGGGCAATGTGTTTATGTATTATGGACTGTCTAATTTTTATCAAAACCATCGTCGTTACGTGAAATCTCGAGATGATAGTCAACTAAATGGAGATTCTAGTGCTTTACTTGTAAGTAAAATGATGGAATATGAAAATGTGGTATCTGTGAAATAAGAACATGTGATTATTGTTTAGTTAGAAATGTTAATTTTAATGTCGTTAAGATGAAATCAAAGAGTTACTTGCCATTTATAGTTTGTTAGTGAGGATTTTTAGTTAAATTTTTTCCTCTGGGATTTACACAGATTAATGATTTCTTACAGCCAAAAGACACTACTAACTGCTTGTTTCTAGTAGTGTCATTGGGATTTTTGCTTTCTTAATCAGTTTGTAATGGAATTTCGATGAGTCTAGCATTCTGGGTACATATTTTGTTCTGTTTGGGTTTGTTCATTATTATTACACTAGATAAGAGTATCTAAATAAGCTACTTTTAATTTCTGAGATTGTGTTTTAGAATTGAACATGTATTCTCTTCATTTTTTAACTTGTGAGAAACCAGAGTAGTAAAGTCCAAAGGGTGGATTACTGAAAAACCGTCTGAGGAGCTTTTTGAAAATATATGGATTCCAGAATTCTGAGTCTCATATGCCAGTGTTTGGATGAGTGGAGCTCTAAAATACCTATTTTTAAGACGCTCCCCTTCTGATGCCCATCCTGGTTTGGGAATCTGTGGACTAGAGGATCTTAGTTTCCTGACTGTTGTTCAACTTTTCATAGTAGTGGTTGTTGCGCAAGTATTTTATGTTCTTGTTACCAATACAATAAACCTTCAGAGTCCCAGAGCAGTCTAGGATTTCTTAGAAATGGTGAATCTATTAGAATGCAATTTAAGATCATATTGTGACCGGAATGGTCCTGGTAAGCATATAGCTGCCCTAGGCTGTCCTTACTGGTTTCATTGCTAGTTCCTGATGTTTGGGCTCTGAAGAAATAACAAGTCTATGTAGAGAGTCTGGTTAGGCCTATAATATTTTGCAATCCATGTAGGGTTTACTCTGGGTTCTAAGTTTTAGAACTCACATCCAGAGAAGGTGATGTCCTAGAGACACACCAAGTCCCTAAGCCTTTCTCAGTTTGTTGATTGGGATTGTAGATAGGTTATGTTCAAAGACCCAGATGTGGTGTGGTGGATTTACAATTCTTTTATTTAGATATAAGCTCTCTCCACTGAGTGCAAGAGAGGCTGAGATTGATTCTTTTCTTATAAACTGTAAGCAAAGCTTTTAGACTAGACTAGGGGTTGATGATTTTTTTCTGTAAAGGGCCAGATGATAATTATTTCCAGGTTTGTAGGTCATATGGTCTCTGTTGCAGCTACTTACCTTTGCCATTGTAGAATGGAAGGAGCTGTAGATAATAAATGAATGGCTATAGCAGTGTTCCAATAAAACTTTATTTACAAAAATAGAAGCTAGTCTGGGTTTCACCTGCAGTCATTTATTGATCCCTAAACTATGAGTTTTAAGACCATGTGACTCTTAAAAATTTTAAGAAGTCCAAGTACTTAACATTTTGTGTAAGACTCTTCATAGTCTGATACCAACATACCATTCCAGTCTTTATTGTTTTATATTCTATCTTTAATATACCTGGTCTGGCTGCCCTGGGCCTTGAAAGTAGTTCCCTAATCCTGCCTGGTGACACAAGTAATCTGCCCATTTTGGCATTTCATTTTATTTGTTTAGAATGTGGTTTTTGCCTTTCTCTAGAGATTGTCTCATCTGAAGGCCTGCTGTTTTCTGTAGTGCCCTGTGACGTGGAATAACTTTTTTATGTATTTACTTTATTCATACTCTAAATCACTTCTTACTTTGCTTAACAAACTTGTCTTTCCACATCATCCATTCTTGCCCTTCCTTTCTAGGTCATTTTCTGCCTAGCTGCTGTTGTGCTCTTTAAAAAAATAAATATCACTCTCTGCTTAAAATCTTTCAGTGGTTTACTAGCACTTGGAGTAAAATCTCAGGATGATCTGAGCTATGCGTAACTGTCCAATCTCATCATATGTTATTCACCTTATTACTATACTCTAACACATTTACCTTTTACCTTCTCAAAATATCAAGTTCTTTCTCAGTGGCATGTACTGCTCTCTCTTCTTTAAACTGTCTTCTGCCTGCTCTTTGCATGGCTGTCTCCTGCTCGTCTTTAGGTCTTAACTTAAATGATACTACCTCTAGAGACAAACTTTTTCTTATCATTGATTCTAAAGTAGCTCCCCCAACCTCCCCCCATTAATTACTTGCATAGTGTTTTCATAACATTTATAGCCATTTGTAATTATATATTTGTTTACTTATTTATTTTCTGTCTTCCCAACTACACTGTAAACTTATGAGGGCAAGGAGCATGACTTTCTTTATTGACCATACACCCAAGTGCCTAGCTAGTGCCTAGCACATGGAACACATTTAATAATGTTGAATGAATATAGACACCTTTATCATGGCTCTTATTTCATATTATCGTTGGTTGTATATGGATCTTTTTCCTGTATTACATTGTAAGCCACTTAAAAGCAGGGACTTCACTTTTTTTTTCCTGTTTCTAGCACCTTGCATGGTACATGGTACATATTAGGTACTTATTAAATGGCTTTCCTAAGCCAGTTATTTACTGCAGAGTACCTAGCATTGCTTAGTTCAGTACCCGATGCATAAGTAGTAAATAATATTTTCCTTTCTTTTAAAACTTGCGTAAGAATTTAGTGGCTAGAATATATTTAGCCTACTAAAAGTTTATTTAATTTAATAACTTTTTTTTCAAAATCACAGTTTTCATCAAAACATTCAAATAGTAATAAACCAGTTAGTTATATGTTGTCTACATTCACATTCTCACAGTACTAAATTTATAAATCTAAATGGCTTAAGGACCAAAAAAGTTGAGAAGCCAAATATTAAAGATTATGTGTTTTGAGATATGGCTTAATGTGGCCTTGGAGTCCCAGAACAACTCAGACATATATCTAATCTCAAACTTGGTAGAACTCCATTTAACTCCGCAACTGCTATATCTCCTTGAGATCTTCAATAGGGACTAAGTGAAAATCAAATCTGGAGGATAGGCAGATGCTCCTTTTCTTACCAGCATTTTTAGTTTCCTTGTACCTGAATGCACAATTTATAGAAGATTGGTATATTTAGGAATCTGAATTAGTCCTCCCTCCCTCCCTTCCTCCCTCCCTCCCTCCCTTCCTTCCTTCCCTCCCTCCCTCAGGGCTCTGTTTTTATTGTTGGTTTTTCATCCTAATAAGAAACATAGAACAAATTCCTCCTTATCCTTCCGTGAGTGTTCCTTCCTTCCCTCCCTCCCTCTTTCTCTTGATAGGGGATTTAACTCAAAATTACAAAATTTTAGATTATCTAGTTGAACATGTTAATTTTATAAGTGAGACGCAGATAAATCAAGAGACTTGCCCAAATGCACGTAGTACACAGCTGGAACTAGAACCTCCAGTCTCTTTAATTCCAGTTTAAGATTCCTTTCATTATGTTACAACTGGATTGCTAGTAGACTGCTTATTATTTTTCTTGGGCAGAAAAATCATTGTGTTATGATTTCTGTGTTATATGAAAATCAAAAAATGTCAATTTGATGTAAGCCTATATGGCAAAATATATGCAAAGAAAAGTTACGTTAAAAATACAGTAATATTGAGGAATATATTTGGATATTGAAATGTGGCATTATTTATAATACAGACTCATTTTGTATGCACTGCCAAGTGAGAAGCATGTAGGAATTGAATTTTTATTAGTGACTAGGGCTAGTTCATAGTTATCCCGGAGGCCTGAGTAATAAATTTCTCTCTTTTTTCCCTTCTAAACATCAGAATCCCAGTAAGGAATGTGAGCCTTATCGAAGAAATGAAGACAAACCAGTTGCTCCTTGTGGAGCTATTGCCAACAGCATGTTTAATGGTATGATCTAGATACAAAGAAAGATATGGATATATGCATATATCATTAGGAAAATTTGTATAATCTTATTACAGATTTGATAGTCTAGTAAACATGAATGAAATTGAGAAATTCAGCAACCTTAAAATAAATATATCAATTAGTAATTTAGTGGAGTATTGTAATACTTTGTGACTTTTGGGAATTCTTATACTTTAAAAATAAATTTCTGTTTTTGGGAAGAGAGAAGCAGAGGCATTTTGCTAATAACTTTCCTCTTTCATGTATGATAAAAGCCAGGCTACCTTTCCCATCAACTTTGAATATTTATACCATTAAAAGGAAGCTATAGTTGCTCATTTAGAGCAGCACTGTCTGACGTAAATATAATGTGAACCATAAATCTGAGATGTATATAATTTTAAATTTTCTAGTAGTCACATTAAAAACAATGAAAAGTGAAATTAATTTTAATAATATATTTTAATGAACCTAGTATGCCTCAGATGTTATTTCAGCATATAAATTATATGCAGTGTCTAAAAGTTATTAATGAGATATTTTATATTCTATCTTTTATACTAACTCTTCGCTATCTGATGCATATTATAGATTTACAAAACATATTCATTTGGGCCAGTGTAATTTCAAAGGTTCTGTAGCTTTGTAGCCACTAGCTATCGTATTGCACATACAGTACAGATAGAGAAATGGATAAGCCATAAGCTATTTAGGAATGCAGTTTTTAAAGGAAAGGAGGAGAGGCAGATATACCTTGCAAATTGTTTCATTTGGGTTAATATTAAAACATTTGACCTTAATCACGTATCAGCTAGCCATATAGGGAAGTGACCTAGAACTGTAGTGAGGGAAGAGAAGTCCATCTGGATTATAAAGTTAAAATAGTTAATTCACATGAATAAGCAAGAGCAAATGTACATCATATAACTACTCTGTTATATGATGAGCAAATACCAGATCTTCATCTCATAGAGTAAAGCAGGTACTGTGTATTTTCAATAGGTATTTAGCAAGATCATCCTTTTCTTGTGTTTAGATACGTTACAATTGTTTCTGGTTGGCAATGGATCTTATTTGACATCTATTCCTTTGAAAAAGAAAGGTATTGCTTGGTGGACAGATAAAAATGTGAAATTCAGAAATCCCCCTGGAGAAGGCCCCCTAGATGAACGATTTAAAGGTAAAATATTACTAATATCTCTTTCAAACATAGTATAAGCTTAAGAGTTTTAATAAAGTACCTAAAATTTTCTCTCTTTAGAATCTTAAGAAAGTTATACTTTTTAAAAACAACTCTTGTTAACTTCATATAGTGAGGTAAAATATGTAGTCTGTTGTAATGTTCTAAACTTCTAAAGGAAGTATATACTTTTAATCTTGAATTTCTCTTGTATTCCCTTATAAGCATATCAGCCATTCTCTTTCCCCCCCCCTCCACAAATTTCACTTCTTGTCATTTTCTTTTTATTACTTTCAGGTATACAGCATAGTGGTTAGACATTTATATAACATGTAAAGTGAACCCCCTGATTAACACCCACCTGGTGCTGCACATAGTTATTACAGCATTTTTGACTATATTCCCTATGCTGTACTTCATATTCCCGTGACTATTTTGTAACTACCAATTTGTACTTTTTAATCCCTTCACATTTTTCACCCAGCCCTGCAACCATCCGTTTATTTTCTGGCAATCATCCGTTTATTTTCTGAATCTATAAGTCTGTTTCTGTTTTGTTTATCTTGTTCTTTAGATTCCATAAGTAAGTGAGATCATATGGTATTGTCTTTCTCTTTCTGACTTATTTCATTTAACATAATGCCCTCCATCCATGTTGTTACAAATGGTAAGATTTTATTTTTTATGGCCAAGTGATATTCCATTGTATATATGCACACCAAACTCTCTTACTAATATTTTTTCTGATATATTTCCTCAGGCAGAGCAAACAAAAGAAAAGTAAATGGGAGTACTAAATCAAATTAAAAAGTTTTTGCACAGCAGCAAAGGAAACCATCAATAAAACGAAAATACAACTCCTACTGAAAGGGAGAAGATAATTCACTAATGATACATCTGATAAGGGGTTAATATCTAAAATTTATAAAGAACTCATACAACTCAATACCAAAAAAAAGATCCAATTAAAAATGGGCAGTCTGACTAGACATTTCCTTAAAGAAGACATACAGATGGCCAATAGACTTATAAAAAGATGCTCAACATCACTAATGACTAGAGAAATGTGAATTAAAACCGTAATGAGATATTATCTCACACCTGTCAGAATGGCTATCATCAATAAATCCCCAAACAAATGTTGGTGAGAATGTGGAGAAAAGGGAACCCTCATGAACTGTTGGTAAGATTGCAATTTGTACAGCCACTATGGAAAACAGTTTGGAGTTTCCTCAAAGAATTAAAGATAGAACTGCCTTATGACACAGTAGTTCTACTTCTGGGTATTTATCCGAAGAAAGCCAAAACACTTAATTCAAAAAAAGTTATATGCACCCCTATGTTCACTGCAGCACTATTTACAATAGCCAAGATATGAAAGCAACCTAAAGTGCCCAGCAGTAGACAATTGGTTAAGGATGTGGTACATGTGTGCAATGGACTACTCAGCCATAATCTTTTAAAACTACAGCAAATTTTCTTTTAAACCCCAATTATTTATTATAAATCTAAATTTATTTTTGTTTTTATATCTCCTTAATTTTACAGTATAGCATTTCTTACCATTATATCTTTGCGTTAAATCACCTGCCTTTCGGTATATACTCAAAAGCCTACTTTCAGTATTCTCTTAATTTAGATAGCAATCAAATCTTTGTAATTATGTTATTACATGACAAATTGGTTTCTCTCTACATTTGAAGACTTCCTTAGACTGTAAATATATTTATACCTTTGAAAATAAGAAAAATATTCAGAATGTGCATTGCATATCTTTGTTTTATTAGAGTGTGAATTTTCAGTTAAACTCTTAATAGAATTGAACATTTTATCTCTCTCACTCCGACCACCCCTCCTTTTTCAGGTACAACAAAGCCAGTAAACTGGGTTAAACCAGTATACATGCTGGATTCTGACCAAGATAATAATGGGTTCATAAATGAGGATTTTATTGTTTGGATGCGTACTGCAGCATTACCTACTTTTCGTAAGTTATATCGTCTTATTGAGCGGAAAAGTGATTTACATCCAACATTACCAGCTGGACAATACTATTTGAATATCACATACAGTATCCTTTTTTGGCCATGTGCACAGATTCATAGAATTTGAAAGGGGTGTAGTCCAACCTTATCTCAGTTATGTGGTATGCTACTTTGTGTTTTAGTTTTGACCTCTGCATTTTAATAAGAATTTTTGAGAAAGTATCTTTTATATCTTCCAGAAATGTCTTACATTTTTAAAATACTTCGTACTAGGGTTCAAGCATGTTATTTGGTAAAATTATTTAAAATGTAGATGCTAAATTTACTAGTGAACTTGATATTTTTACAAGGGAGATTGTAACTGAGCTTGATGCCAGGGCCGTTCAGTGTCTCTTATATAAGTGTGGTACTGGGCTGTCTTAATATATATTTTTCCATATTAAAAATCAGATGTGTTAGTTCTTATCAACATTATTTCTAATTATTGCTCTGTTCATAGTACCAAAACATTTTTATCATTAGCTGTAGTGTGCCACATTAATAATTTAGATGTTCTTTTCAGTGCTGAAAAATATTTATTTGTTCTGACTATATGTCAACATTGTACTAAGTACTTTTCATGAATTATTTTATTTAATTCAAGCGTTATGATGGAGTTATCATCTCCATGTCTATATAGATAAGACTACAGGATATAGAGCTTTTAAGTAACTTAACCAAGGTTACATAGGAAATAAGTAGAAGAGTTGGGGCTCCTGGTCAAGGTGTTGACTCCAAAGGTCATGACTTTACCATCAACCACCACTATAGGCTACATTTCTAGCTAGTTTAAACCAATCTATATAAGCCTAGATGCAGTCTTTCCTAAGACGGAAATATTGGGCACTACTTTTTATTCTAAACAAAGTCCTTACATTGTCTAATTTCTAGTTTATTGCTTGTATATCTTATGAATGAAAAGTTTCTCAGATATTAAATGTTTGCTGCTGATCTTTGCATTTTTGATTTTTCATAATCCAAATTAGCCATAAGGATATAGTTTTAGTTTTATATTGGATTCACAAATGGTTAAATTAGTAGCCCTCATTTCAAAATAATGGTTTTTTTGGATCCTTAGTCCCTTGATTTTGCACCTCAATATACAACTGAGTATGACCTGATAGTGACAGATTGATAGTGGCCAAGTGTTTGAAAGTAGGCCCACATAGCAATTTTGGACAGACAGATCCAGTTCAGGTGCTGGTAGAAAAGAATGTTATCCTAAAGCTATAGGCAAAGTAAAGGGCAGCTATGTCACAGTATCCAAACCTGAAGCCTAGAGTATAATAAAGAAAAGGCTGTGAAGCACCCAGGAATGCTTGGTTGACAGTTTGCCTCCCAGGCATTGAGAGGGGAACTGTCAGGAGAATGCGGAATATCTTAAAGATTGACAAGATGGGAATTTGGGCCTGCAAAACCTCAAAGATTAACTATCAAAATTAGGTATAAGGGGAGTACTAGATATTTGAATTAAGCAGAAGTCTGTTTTTTAGGTTTACTATCCAGAGAGATTCTAGCATGGTGATTTGAGACTACGTTTCCCAGAGTGTTGGGTTAGTTAGAGCTCTTATAATCATTCCTACCTCAATCAGTGTAAATCTACTTAAACTGGTTGAGCTGATACTGCCATTTGGAGTCATTTAGAGAATTGCAGAAGCCCAGAGAAACAGATGGGGCCTAATACTTGATTCAAAAGACACTTTTTGAAAAGATTGTAAACTTTCTACATAAGGACTTGGTTCTATTTTCTTCTCTGCCCTGACTGTTGCTAAAATCCTACCTAGAACTGCTCCATGTAGATAGCTCATCCAATACACTGGTGTCCCATTTCTTAAATCTCTTTAAAAATACACCCTTCACTTCTACTCTGTTTTAGTCATCACTTCCCTGTGTCACACCATGAGTTTTATCATTACTCCAAATCAGTAAGTTAAATCTTCAGTATCGTGCTTTTTTACCCCATGCTCAGAGTCTTCTTATACTCCCATAACTACACTCTTGCTACACATGCTCTATGAGTTTACAGAGACCTCTAATTCCTTCATTCTTTCATTGTCTCTTGGTCTGTCAAACCTCCTTTTCCTCTGTGGATTTCATTGCTGTTCATCTGAAATATTTTTTCGCATTACATTTCTTTGTGGCTTTTTGCCCCTCCTATGTAATGAGCAAAAGTAGTGAGTTGATTTAACCATGAAATTTGCTTGCAAACTATATTGGCTTTTACAGCAAACGTTTAATTTGCTAAACAAATCTTTCAAGATATTAATTATATAATTATTTTGTGATCCAGAACATATGAGTAAGGTGCCTATATATCATAGAATTATACAATTGAATTACAGGTAATTAAATGCCAACTTTTTAAGTTGTATTTTAAAAATCAAGTAACTGGATCTGGAAAAATCTTCCTATACACTCTTCAGATTACCCTGTACATTCTTTTGATGGACGAAAACGGATGATCTTAAGCACTATTTCATGGATGGGAGGAAAAAATCCATTTTTGGGGATTGCTTACATCGCTATTGGATCCATCTCCTTCCTTCTGGGAGTTGTACTACTAGTAATTAATCATAAATACAGAAACAGTAGTAATACTGCTGACATTACCATTTAATTTTATATTCTGAAAACAAATTTACCGCATGTGCATCAAGGCCAGTCCTATTCAACCTAGCTTTTGAATGCCGATGTCTGGTTAGTATGTCATTTTTTGAAGTTGGCACATAACTTTTTATTTAAAAAACAGTCTTTGTCCTTTGCTTCTTCCTTATGGATGACTTATGAAAATATGTGACGGGTATAAAACGGATTAGCTATATTGATCATATTAGCACTCTTAACTGCTGAAATGGCATTCTAATGTTTGCTTTTTGTTGGGATAGGCCATATGATGCATAGAGCCTCTTTCATGTGAAATGCGTCTACTGCTTAAATGTTTATGCTGTGTTGATAATATTATATTGACGTGCTGTATATATGTGACTATTGTGTGAAGAAAGGGATTATAAGATGTATAACAGCTTTTTAACCTTTCGGGATTCAGAGTTATGAAAAGATGAAGAAAGACCAAATCTAAATAAAACACTTCATCATTTTCATGTGTCGTGTGTAAAGGCTTAAAGTGCCATCTTTGGTGAGGTGGTTCATATTTAATACCTTCAGTACAGCTCTCTTTCAAGCTTAGTTTTGATTTCAAAGGATATGCTTACCTTGCCTAGCATAGAAATTTAGTGCTCATATCTGAAGAGGTCAAGTAGGACTCAGATAGGAGAATTTAAATTCCTCTTTCCATTTGGTCAAGATGTTGCAGTCGGGAACCCCAACTCACTTGATATATTTTTACTTGCAATCATTTCCCTTGAAGCTTACACTTCATAAGGGACAAAAAAATATAAGTGAGATGGGAAAACTTCTTGGCAGACCTTTATCTTCTGCCTCAGCTGTAACCCAGATGTAAATGTTCAAAGGAGACCATTTTCATTCTTATGGTATTTAACATTCAGAAATTTGCTTCAGCATTGGAAATACCTCAAGCTTTTTTTATTTTGCAGGTAAGTGTTTTGACTTAAGTACTAATATTATATTGCAGAAATTTTGGGCAATTTTCATATAGGTCATATATGAATGTGTATTCACATTCTCTTCAGTTAAGGCACCAATTGTTTTAGTTGGTATTCCTAAAACATACTTTAAAAAGAACTTTATTAAATTTCCTCATTCTGGAGATTTTGGTGTATGTACATGATAAATTATAATATATATGATTGAAGCTATTTTATTTTCTATTACCTAGAGTTATTTTAATATTTCTTATTGAGTAAATGCTGTAATTTCTTTGCTATGGAACTTACTCTCGGATGTAAAGTTATTTTTTTCACATGCATGAAAATGTATGTCTTAATCAGAAGGCTTAATTGCATTGAAATTGCAATTTTTTTTTACTCATATGTTTGTGTAGAAGAATGCCTGTTTATTTAGAGTTTGTAATGGTTTCCCTCATTTATATTTTAAATCAAAAGGTCTGAGTAATGTATCAATTTTGATTAATTTTTTTTAAATAATGTAATGGTTAATAGAAATGTGCCACACTTAAGTTTTGTATAACATGAAATTCAGTTAAAAGAACTTGTAGTTCAGAATGACTTTTAACTAATAGAATATTACTTGCATGAGGTACTTAATGTATGATGATCCTGAAATTTCGAAGTGCATTGGGTATTCTTTGTCTAAAAATATTCTTTGTTTTGTTAGGCCTTCAGAATTTTGTTATTTATTCTGATAATTGACCCTCTTGCACATGGCAGTTGATCTTCTGGGCTGTATCATTGGGGGAGAGGGGTTTCTACTAGTCTTTCCAGATTGAGTTTGTGCTGTTTAAGGATTGCTATCGTGCATCCTTTTTCTAATTGGGGGATCAAAGGTGCTGCTAATGAAAAGTTGAAGAACCCTTCCAGCACTTTCTCATCTGTGGTGAAGATGGAATCTTAAAATATATTTGAAGTTCTATCTACTTTATAGGTACATTTATAGCTTCAGTTTCTCCCTGTCTCCTGCCATTTGAGTTTTAAGGGATTCCTGTTGGTAAATATGAAGAATGTGGAACATTCATATGGCCTCTGTGAAGCATCGGGGAGAGAAAACGTCTCTTATGAGCTTTATGCTCAGCTTTTGGAAACATTGATGTAATATTCAACTTTCAAAAAATCATATTACATTTTAAGGCAACTAGGTTAAATAGAAGGCATTCACGAATGCATTAACTTGCTGGAAGTATTTTGATATATCAAGTTTTGCAATTGAAGGAATTATTTAATAAGTAAAGGCTAAGAAATTTTCATTGAAATAATAAGGCAGTTTAAAAATAAATTGGTAAAAATAACTGTATTACCTAATAGAGAATTATTCAAACAAGGGAAGAGTCAAGTGCATATTATTTGTTTAGTGGTTAGTAAGTTTATTTGTAACCTTGATTATATTAAAAAGATAACTTTCTGTTAGTATGTTATGTATTAATAAAAATGAACAAAATTAATTTTGCTACGTCCAAGTGTCTTGCTAAAATAACAATGTCCCTGTGTTGCTAATGTTTAGCACTAAATTTTAGCTCAAGATCAATAATTACAAGTTTGAACTTTTTCATGCCTAGATTTGATTGCCGTGTATGTGTGTGTGTGTGTATGTATGTATAAAAATCACACTCTATATTATTAACATTTGTTTTTACCAGTAAGTGTACAAATTGTCACCTAAATTATAGGCAGATGGGCTAAATTTCTTATTAGATCAGGAGAAATCTCTGTTAAATAGAAATTGAAGATGTGGTAGAGAAGCAAAGATGGTGAAAATAATGAAGTAGGCGGGATATGCAGGAAATGAGAAGCCAAACTAGGAAAGGGGGCAGCCGAAAGCTAGGGTTAATGAATGCTGTTTATTCTGTTCACCACCTGTCTTCATGGAAACACTGTCTTAGAATTATAGTATGGTCCTTTGTTGGTTAAGCTGCAAAATTTCATTTTTTGTGAACATGGTTATTTTGAGGGGAAGGTAGAGAGAGTAAGGAAGTGCTGTTTCAAGAATTTCGACACATATATAGAGTTTGAATGATCTAGTAAAGTGTTTTAGAGCCTCTTTTTAGCCCCTGTCCCATTCAGTAAACATAAAAACCACATTTCCCCTAATGTCATTTGAAATTTCAAAATGAATATTATGTCTAAAGTCAAATTAGGCCATGGAGATGTTATTTGCTTTTATATATCTGTGAAATTTATCAAAGTGACATGTATACAGTCAAAAATATCTAAATGCCTTATGATGAAAAAATAGTAGTCCTTGTCTCAACTTTCTTTACTTTCCATATACAATCATTTTTATTCCAAAGGGGTTTGTTTTGGTATTTATCTTACTGTTTCTGAATGACATCCCCATTCTACTATTGCTCGATTTAACAGTTTTAGACATTATTATCTTGATAATGTTGCCGGATAATTCAGCTCTCTAACACAAATACCTCCCCATCTCTCATTACCAAGCATATTAGCTACTGTTTAATTATGACTAAAGTACTATATACTGTAGAGCAAAGCAGTGCACCATAATTACAGTTTGCCTAATTTTATGTTTCCTGGATTTAATAATCCCCTCATTTTTAACATTATATAACTTTCTGGAAACATGTCTTGTATTTTTTCTACTCTGTCAGCTTCCCTATGTTCTTGTCACTTGTTTTAAAGAGTTTTTGTCCCCAAATAACAGATAATCCAATTCTCTGTTTTCACTAGAGAGGTCTATTCTGCATTTGTCTTCTGTGCCAATCTGTATTAGTCATTCTCTTGTCTGGCCTCACAGCCATTATGCCATGACTTTCTTTCGTCACCCTCCTGTGTTGCTGTTCCTAGTTTACTCTCTTGTTTATTGCAGCACTTCCTTATACTTAAGTGTAGACACTCAAGTATTCCTAATGAGTATATGAAAGGCACATTTTCTGAGTTTTTACATGTCTAAAATGTTCTTATTCCACTCTCAAATTTCATTGGTAGTTGGACTACGTATACAATTTTAAGTTAAGAATCATTTTACCTCAGTTTTGAAGGCATTGCTCTACTCTCTTCTAGCTTTCATTGTTGCTTTTGAGAAATCTGATCCTATCCTATTCAGATATTGGACCTCCTAGATTGATGCTTAATTTTTTTTTTCCTCTAATTGTTTTATTATCTCTGTTCTTTCTAGATTTCTTCATTTTGATCTTCCAACTATCTTTCTATTGAATTTTTTATATATTTAAAAATATTTTAATTTCTAAGACTTCCTTTATTTCTATTTCTAAAACATACTAATCTAGTTCAAAGATAGAATATTTTTCTGAGGATATTTGTGGATGCATATATATTTTTGCTTTTCCTTTCTACTGTTTATGCTGATTTTTGTTGTTGCTATTTTTAATTTCAGTTTTTTTTTGTCTTGTTTGTGTAGGTGACTTTCCATGTATATCTGGCTGGTCTCAAAAATCTGTCATATATGAATGGACTCCAAAGGCTAATTGAAGCTCTTTCCTTGTGGGTAGTGATTGACTACTGATAGTCTTCATTTTCACAGTATAACTAAAAAATGCCACTCAGTGAATTATTTGTTCCTGTTAATGATAGAAAGCTTAGACAAGTAATATAGTTGGCAGGTCAGCAACTGTAGGTGGACTGAATTTTGAGAAGTACTGCATTAGGGAATGATTGTTTGGAAGCCAGTCATTTGACTGGAGGCCTTTTCTCTGAGACTGTTCAGTTTCTCTAGGGAAGAATTCTCTGCTGCAAAAGGAGGAAGTTGAAGGAGGGTCTGTTTATTACTGCTTTAGTTCTTCGTGTCTCCCTTGTCCTCTACCTTACCTTCTGTTTTATACTTCACACATATTTCTCTATACCTGTCCCTCTGCGTGTCCCTTCTATCTAGTTGTCTCCCATTACTTTATCCAGATAAAAGTTCTCTTCCACCTGTGGGAGACAGTGATGGAGGTGAGAGATTGTATTTGTTTGGCTTAGAGGAGTAGAGCAGAGGCTGTATAATTTTCCACTAGCCATTTTCGGGCCTTGACTCCACTCTTTGCTGTAACTTCTGCCTTCGAGTGTGAGCTTCTTAAGGGCTGTGGAACCAATCAGCATGCTTCTCACTGGTATCCCCCTTGCAGTCGCTTAAGATTGCAGCTTCCTCTGTCCTGCTCAGTCAAATCCCAACTGCTTTCTGTTTTCCCAAAATCTATTGAAATCCCTTTTCTGTTTCTATCTTCTCTCCACTCTCCACCCTTTTGGGCTCATCTCTTTAAAAACAAAAAAGAAAGAAAGAAAAAGAAAAAGGAGAGTTTTTAGATTACAATACAGTCAGCTTTTTTTCTTGTAGTGTACAGTTCTGAGAATTTTAACACATATCTAGATTTTTGTGTAACTATCATATAGAGCAACCCCCCAAATTCCTTTTACTATCCCTTTATAGTCAATTGTCCCCCTACCCATAACCGCAGGCAACCATTTGATCTCTTTTCCCCATAGTTTTGTCTTCTAGAATATCATAAGTGAATCATACCATAAACCTTTTGAAACTGGCCTTTTTCATTCAGCAGAATGCCTTTGAGATTCATCAAAAGATCTATCAATACCTCATACCCTTTTAGTTTCTTTTCTTTAATTTTACTGGAGTGAGAGAAGAAACTCTTGGGGCCAATATACTATTTAAATCAGAAACACCTTGAAGCACCTTTTGGTGATTTTATAACACTTTAAAACCTTAAAAGATAAACTTGTTATATACTTTAAGTGATATTTGTGGGAACTTATCTGTTTGTATGTCACAAGCTTTTCTATCCAGAGTAATATAGAAGAAGATAGAACTCACATCACTTTAACTGACATGACTGATTAGCCACTCTGTTTCAAGGACCAGAAATGCAGAAAAAATAGTTTCATAAATACATGTCAAAATGCAGTTGAGTCTGTGGTCTAAAATAATTCCTGGGGTATGTTGTCTCTCCTTTTCACAACAAAGCTTATAAAAGAGTACTTTATAGTTTCTTGTTTTAGAAGCGAGTTGACCTGGCTTGAGCGCGTGCGTGTATGTGTATGTGAGATATGTATACATATGTATATGTGTGTGTTTATATATGTATATATGTATGCATACACACACATTCTATTTTCAGATTATTTCATCTAAACCATTTACTATTTCCTTGTCAGTGAAATGAGGATTTCAATAACCACTTGACAGATTTTGTTTTGAGGAATAAAGGAAGTTAGATGACAAGTATTTACCACAAAGAATGGAAATATAGCACTCAATGAATAATTCCCACTCCTTTTTGTCAAATCAAATTAACTCATTCTTATTTTGAATTTTTTTCTTCTGTTTGAGTTTGGCACTTTCCTTCATTCTTTATCCTTAGCATATGGTTTCTATAAATAACTCCTGATTTTCTTCCTACTAATATGTTCCTTAGTCTCCTTTATATGTCTCTCAGTTATGCTCATATTATAAAATGTTGGGAATTCTTTGAGATTATATTCTGAGCCCTTTTCTCACTTTACAAATACTCTGAACAATCAAATTCTCATCACTTCTACTACCATATTCACACTGACTTTGTTATCTTGTGCCTTTATATCTCTCTTGAGCTCTAGGTCAGTGGTCCCCAACATTTTTGACACCGAGGACCAGTGCTCATATGAGCATCTAATGCCTGATGATCTGAGGTGGAGCTGAGGCGGTGATGCTGGTGCTGGGGAGTGGCTGCAAATACAGATGAAGCTTCCTTTGTTCGCTACTCATCTCCTGCTGTATAGCCTGGTTCCTAACCATGGGGTCCCTGCTCTAGATTATTCACTATAGATCTCTTCTTGGATTGTCCTTGGATTTCTCAAGCTTATTGAGGCCAAAACAGGAATCATCTCATTCTACCTTGCGGTTTCTCTTATATTCCTTGGTATAGTGAATACACAGTGAATGCTTTGACTGCTAAAATCCAGTCTTTTAAAAACATTCCTAATGACCACTACTTTCCTTGAGTGTCCCATAGCAACTTTTGCCATACCAGTTACCTGAGATTTATTTATGTCTACATCAAAATTTACTATGATGTATACATTATTAAGTAGATTATATGTTCCAGAGGGTCAGAGATTTAAAAAGTTTTCCTCTGAGCATATTGCAGAGTGTTATATTCATAGTAGGTAGTAAGTTATTGTTCAACAAGGAGTGAACTCATTTATATGGTTTTTGAAAGTATTTTTTATGCATAAGGATTTTAGAACCAGAGATAAAGATCATTAGTCTAACCATTTAAATGATGAAAAGACTGAGGCTTGCAGTTAGCTAAATTATTTAATAATAAAATAATTCAGCAGTTAATTGACAATCAAGTGTTTCCTGATTTCTAATTATGTAATAATCAAATTAGAGAGTTATATTGAAATGTTACCTTTCATCTAGTAGTTTTTATACATTAAACATCACATGAAGCTGTTTTATATTGTTTTTGTAAAAATGGAAGTGAAGTAAGCATGGTATCAGAATTAAAATACACTTATCCTAATCACATAAAACTTTTAATTTGGCTTTCCTATGCTTTTTATTTATATAGGTGCTATAGGCAGGATCAAAGTAAAGGTTAACATCTTTGCTTTTTAAAGAAGAAGAAAGGTTCGGTAACTTTGTGATTCAGTAACTTTGCATCAGTAATTGTGAAATATTTTCACTTAATACTTTTATATCTGATGTCCGTAAACTTATCTTACTGGCAAGATTTAAATTAACCTTACCTACGTCTTATCTAAGTGTACTGTCAGTTCTGTTATGTTTAAGAACACTCTGAAGGAAGTATTTTTCAAAAACACCATTTCTAATAATTTTTCTAATATTACAAAAGAATCTAATACTGATGTTTTGGAAAGGAACCTATTTTGAAAATAACTATTCTGCGTCAGAGGATGAATTTACAAGTCTGGTAACAAATTTCAAATGTGCCTGAGAAGATCCAATAAAGTTTCATAGGCACCCAGGCAAATGCAGCCATATTTTTCTGTCAGGACATTCACAATTTATAAAGCAAGAACAAGGAACCCTGGAACTGGAATATGTTTGAAAGGAGTACATATGAGTATTAATGAATTAATGATACATATTAGGAGTACAATGAGTATTAAGGTTTTTTAAAAAAATTTTATACCCAATAAAATAAGTTCATTCTTTTTGTTTAGCATATTATACATTTAACCAAATATTTACTATGTGTCAGTTACTGTTCTAGGCGTTGGAGATATAGCAGTGAACAAAACAGTTTTAAGCAGTCATTATCTAACTTAAGTTCTTAAAAGGGTCACTGCTATATGGAAGATAAACTGAATGGAAGAGTAGAAGCAGGAAAAGCAGATAAGGCTTTTGCGATAATGAAAGCAAGAGATAATTATGGCTTGGAGAGGCAGTAGTGGTATAGATAACGTGGTCAGATTCAGATTATATTTGGAAGGAATGGTCAATATCTTGAGGCTTGAAATGAAGAAAATTGCAGAGAAGAACACTTTGGAAATGAGTGGAAAGGATTCGATTTTGGTTGTAAGTTTGAGTTGCCTATTAGACATGTAAGTGGAGGTGTCTGGAGTTTAAAGGGAGAGGTCAGGGTGGAGAGTTGTCAGCACACAAATGGTGTTTCATGGCATTGGATGAAACCACAAAAAGGATAAATGTAGGAAAAAATGGTATCCTGCAATTTAGAGATTGAGCAGATGAGAATCAAGGAAAGAAAATTGAAAGCAGCTGCTGAAATAGAACCACCTACAGTAGTATATATGGAAGCCTTATTAAGATGATGTTTCAAACTATAGTATACATATGTGTTATACTGTATTGTGTTTATAGTTTATTTCCAAATAAAAAATTGGAAGTGTATTTTGAGGGAGTAATCAAATATGTTAAGTGTTGTCCATAGATGGAAAAGATTAAAATTGAGATTGACAATTTATTTGGCAACATAGAAGCCATTGGTGATTCTAACAAAAGCAGTAAAAGCCTGCCCAAAATGGGATTTAAGAAAAAAAAAAAGATGAAGAGGAAGGGAAGACAAGTATGAGAGATCTATGTTTTATTTTGAAGAAGAGAAATGAGATGGTAACTGAAATCAAAAGTTTGTTTAATTTGGGAATGTGTTTATATGCTGATGATCCAGTAAAAAGGGGAAAATTGTAATAAGTGCAATACTTCCAATTTTTTTATTTGGAAATGAACCATAAATGCAATACACATAAGTGCAATATGCAGATAAGGATCTGTATCTACTTTAGGATCTATTTTATATGAGTCTTTGGTTCTTTTTGAACAGAGCCATAAGTGTCCTAGATCTATCACCTAATATGTATCATTAATTCATCTATTGGTTAGCAGTTTACTCCCTTAAGCAATCCTAAGGATTGGTAAGAAATTCACGTAATATCTGTTCTTGAGAACTTTTTTAATCTAGTTGGCTAAGTGGAGAAAACATAAGAGCACATAATGTTCAAGTTATAGATGATATGCTTTTTAAAAATCTATACTCCAGCTATTGGCACCTGGTAATTGTCCTCAAAGATTTGATTACAGTGCATAATACCAAGGGGGGGACTAAACCCAATCCTCGGTCCCAATCTAGGAAAGAGATTAATTGGGTTATTTATAAACCTCGGTGAAGAAGAGAACTTGAACTGGGGACAGGTAACATGGTGGGTCTAACCCTAAAGATTAGAATAATAATTTTAGTATTACTAATTTTTATCTATACATTCCACCTATTCTGAACTTATCACCTTTCTATTTGAAATGATAATGGAATAGTTAGAAGAGTTTGTAAAAAGATGAAAAGATCTTTATCATAGTATAGGGTAAATATGTTTACATTTATACACACTTAGGCATGGGCATATAAGACAATTGTAAGCAAGATTGATGCAAGATACACTGACAGTCTATCTGTGCGATAATTGCTATTCCTAGCAGCTCCAATCATGGAACGTGCCCTGCTGGACCTGAGACAGCAGGACTTAAAAGAGTCCAGATTTGCCATCCCATTTCTTGTCCCCAATTTTAAAATTTCCCCCTTTTACAGCGTTTTCTCAGACACAGAGAAACATGAGAACAGCTTCCACGATTTTGGAACATTGGAAGAGCTGCTTGTATGGGGAGTAATGTAGCATGCAAAGGTACAAGAAAATAAAAATTGGTATCTCGACGCAACTCTTTACAGCATATTCTCAGCACAAGGAATAATATAACGCCATCACAGTTTGTTTGGTGGAGAAAACTGATGGTATCCGCGTAAGAGGAGTTATACTTTTTGTTTTGTATTTCATCCAGTTTCACAGCTTACATAGTTGGGCCATCCCAGTGTTCTTTCAGCCTCTAAACAAGGGCTCAAAGGTTGCTCAGTTTTACGCCTTCTCGTTAAAAATGCAAGAACTAATGTTCTATAATAGCCTGTTCTCACGTTAATTTTATATAAGCTAAGTAAAAAAGTACTTAGCACATCACTCCCAGCCTCTCCAATATCAAGTTATTTGCTTCTCCCAGCTTTAGCACCTGCGGAGAATGGCATCCGACAGGTCAGGAGCGAGATCAAGGGGCAGAAACAGCCAACCGCCTAGAGCGGTCACATCTGTACTGCCGCTCTCTCTTTTCTTTTGCTCTCTATGGTCAGGAGCTCAATTCCCTCCTCCGCCCGGAAGTGTACTGGCTTGCGCATGGCCAGAAGGTAGTTCCGGGGTTGGGATATTCGTTCCCAGTGTTCAGTTGTCATGGTTGGTGGGCAGTAAATCAAGATGCTGCGGAATCTGCTGGTGAGGACCTTCTCGACTAGTAGTTGTGGTTTGGAGCGGGAGGTTTGGGAGCGCAGACTTAAGGGGCGATGGCGGAATGAAAAACCTGATCTGAGAGGGAAGGTGGAAGGAAGAAGGCAGCTTCTTAAGTCGCCTTGCTCTCCGTGTCCTTTTCTCCTGATGTCGCTTTCCCTTGCTTTCTCTTCGCCCCAGGCTTTGCTTGGTAGATGTAGGGAGTGGAGAGGCTGGGAAGGTGAGCAGAGGACTGTTGGTTAGACAAGCCTTGGTTTTTTTAATTGCCACCCCTAACTCTGAGGATCCATTAATGAGTTCATTAACTCTGATGTGAGTTAAAAAGCAAGGTCCAGGTGGGAAGTTTCTGATACCTGGTAGCATCAGGCAGAAAGATACTCCTCTGATACTGAAAGGGTTTAACTTTCAGTGGTTCTGAGCTTTGTGAGTATCAGAAAGGCAGTTTTTAAAAAGGCGTTTAATTTTGGATGGGACTTTACGAGCAGTCATGGCGGAAGTGAAGTGTTGCTTCCTTCGGCGGTTCTGCAGTGTCCTTCACCACACCACGGACATTGAGCATGTGAAATATTTCCCCAAAATGTCGAAAAGAGAAGGAAAATGTAACAGTGATCATTTTCATTTGCAATTATTCAATAAGGTTTTACCTAGTTTCTCACTATAGCATTTATATTTTAGATAGTGGAGCGCATATTTGTTTCATTACCTAATTCCATTGGATATATAATCCAAGTCTCTTCTTAAAAAGATTTATACCCTAGTAAATATTTTTTAAGGAAAAATGTAATGAAGGAAGCATTTAATTAAGTAGGAACCATGACAGTTTATTTTGATATCAAGTAATAGATTTTTAATAATATGGTAGAGTGTTCAACGAAAACATTTGAGCTTAGTGTTTTTTGGTAACCATTTTTTATTTTCATAATATCTATATATCAGTATAGTTTCCTCAAGGATTACATAATGATATTGGTTCAATTCAGGTAAAGATCTTTTTTTCCCCCCTCAGAATCAACGTGAATTTTTCTTCAATGTAGTTCTTCAGAGATTGCAGAATGTAATATAAAGGGCAGTGAATGGACAACAAATTAGAAAACCTGGATGTTGGTTTATAACTTTGTTACTGGCATATTGAATATGTTTTTACTCTGAATTTCTCTCTCCTATAATTTTAAAGATTGAACGTGGTTGGTTTTGAAGGTTTCTTTAATCCCTAAATCTGTTTAATATGTATGGATTTTCCATGTCAGGCTCTTCGTCAGATTGCCCAGAGGACCATAAATACTGCTTCACGCAGGCAGTTTGAAAATAAAGTTCCAGAGAAACAAAAGCTATTTCAGGTACTGAAATATTTTATAAGATCGTTACTTGTAATAATATGGTTACCAAAAGGTGGAGATAGAAAGTACATCTGGAAATGTCCCATTATTAGTTATTCTGTTGTATTAAGCAAAAGAATAATTGATAGATGACTGGGCATTTGCTATATTTAGGAGACCCTTGAAGTAGAAGAAATGAGGAGGAAGGGATGTATATAGGTCCACGACACTTTCTTTGGACAAGTTACTTTGGACATACTTTTTGAGGTAGTTGCACAGGAATAGGCAAGTACACCATAGAAAGGGACCAGAAACAAAAAGAAGTTAGAGGTGTAGAAACTTAATAAATGTTACAGGTGCTGTTTTATTTAATTTATTTATTTATTAGGGGAGGCAACCCTTGGTTGACCTCACAGATAGCAAGGACGTTGCCAGTTTACAATCCCTTTTTTTAAAAAATTTTTTACACTTACAGCACCTGGTCTTCCTAGGTGGTCTCCCATCCAAGTACTAACCAGGCCCGACCCTGCTTAGCTTCCAAGATCAGAAGGGATCAGGCTTATTCAGGGTAGCATTGCTGTAGACTTAGAGGTGCTATTTTATATCACTGGAAAAAGATATAATGAATTGGCATTGGAAAAATTGGCAATTTTCAAGAAAGTAAAAGTAGAACCTTTCTATATTATATATTAAAAGATCAATTGCAGATATAAATGCTTCTCAGAAAAATTAGAAGAAAATATAGGAGATATTTCTTTACCGTCCGTTTTGTTGAAATATGATTGACAAATAAAAATTGTACATGTTTAGGTTGTACCTGATTTTTTTTTAAGGTGTACAATCCGAAGTTTAATGTATCTGTGAATTATAACCATAATCAAGTTAATTAACATCCACCACCTCACATAGTTACTTTTTTGTGTAGGTGTGTAAAAACACTTAAGGTCTACTCTCAGCAAATTTCAGGTATACAATATAGTATTATTAACTACTATAATCACCATAGGAGAATATTTCTTACAATCATAAGAGTGGAGAAGGCTTCCTAAGGAAGTCTTTACAAGCTGTAAAGAAGCTGTAAAGGAGAAAAATTGTAAGGTTTGTTGACGTAACAATTTTAAAAGTGTTTATGGTTACAGGAGACAAGTGACAAATTGAGAACAAATTTTAAAATATTAGGTTAATATATCCTTAGTATACACAGAGCTCAATAAATCAATAAGAAATGCAAATTAAAACTACAAGTTATTAATTCTTTTTCCCCCTTTTTGATTGTCAAAATTTTAGAAAGATTTAGAATAGGCAATGTTAGCCAGGTATGAGGGATAAGTACATTCATATACGATGCTTTCATACATGCTAGGTAGTAGTATAATTGGTATAAAAGTTTTAGAAGGTATTTGAAAGTATCATTAAAAACAAATCATATACTCTATTATCTAGGACTCCCATTTTTAAGTCTTTCCTACAGAAATAGTAGCGTAACTATTTAAAAATAGGAAAGAGGCTATTCATTATGGAATTTTAATATCAAAAAAATGAGTAACCTAAATACCCATTAATAGAAGACTGGCTAATTCAATTGAGATATTTTTGCACAGTGGAATGCTAGTAGCCATTAAAAGGGACAAGGTAGGTTTAAATGGACTAACAAAATGGTTTTTAAGATAGCATTGAGAAAAAAGTAGTATATGGTATACCATTATATAGCGTAATCGCATTTTTTATATTAAACATGAATGTATATGAATTAGAAGACAATATAAGCATTAAAAAAATCTTTTAAGGATATGTACATACTGTTAACAGTGATTTTCTTATGAGGAGAGACTTAGTGGGAGAGAGTAGTTTATCTTTATAAGTAATTAAGTTATCAGTAATTTTTTTTTAATTGTCATCTCTGGTTTTTTGCAGATAAAAATTTTAAGTGAAAGGAAAGTTGGATCATTTATACTATGTAGAAATAAAATAGTTATTTAATAGGTATATGAAATATCTACTCCAAGCCAGGTGCTGGAGTAGGGGCTAAGGGTATAATTTAGGGTTTTAAACCAAAACCTCCCCTTTCATTTAAAGAAAAAACAATCTTCCCTGTGACTAAATCTAAAGTATGACAATTACTGACATTTTTAATAATTAAGTTGATGAACTCAATGGATATATTTTCATAGCTTTAACTTTTATATTTTATATGTTCCTTGGGAAGAACATCTTTATTGGATTTTAAATTGACTTTAAAGGAAAAAATGTTGACTTTCGAAGTTTTTATTTTAAAGTTGTCGTAGTAGTAAAGAATCAGGAAAATTAAAGTTCTTTTTAATTTTGATATTTAAAGTATTTTAATTCCAGAGATTTAAGGAGCCACTTAATTTTATATGAATATATTAGTCCTTTGAACTGAGTTGGAAACAAATGACACGTGTTATTTATTATTATTTTTTAACCTAGGAGGATAATGGAATTCCAGTGCATCTAAAGGGTGGAGTAGCTGATGCCCTCCTGTATAGAGCTACCATGATTCTTACAGTTGGTGGTAAGACAGTTGGAATGCTTGATTTATAGAAAAGTAATAGTAAGGATAACTAACAATTTCATTGCTTTTATTATGCTAGCATTTTTTTTAATAAGTGTTTTTATTAAATTTATTGAGATGACATTTGTTTATAAAATTATATAAGTTCCAACTGTACAATTTTATAATACAGGGTTCCCTTTCCCCTAGGCCATGGACCCGTACTGGTCTGTGGCCTGCTAGGAACCGGGCCACACAGAAAATGAGCGGCAGGCAAGCGAGCGAAGCTTTACCTGTATTTGTAGCCGCTCCCCAGGGTTAGCATCATCACCTCAGCTCTACCTCAGATCATCAGGCATTAGATTCTCATAAGAGCACAGGTCCCTGGTGCCAAAAAGGTTGGGGACTGCTGCTATAATAGATCATACGTATATTGCATTGTATTATGCCAGTATTTTAACAGACACAGTCTCCAGAGTCAGAGCTCTTACTGCTTTGAGTACAAAGAGTCAAGAGGGTGATGGATACCTGTTGTGTAAGAGCATTTTGGTGTCTTTGAAAAGTATAAACCAATCAAGTTTGCTGATTGTGTTGTAATAGAGGTGGCTTTTCATTGTGCTGTTGGTGGCCCTGCAAGCCTTTGGAGGAACCAGAGACATCCATTCTACTTCATCTCCTATAACTGGGACTTTTTAACATTTTGACTCTGAGGCATAATAAAAACATTTTATATCTAAATCCTGTACACATTTATGATAGAAACAAAATCTATGCCTATCAATACTTATATGCAAAGTACTTTGACATTTTTTTTCTGTGGATTGGGCAGGTCTATTATTCAGTATTAGTGGAATATACAAATTAGTATACTAGGAGCAATGTTAGGAATTAGAATGATTGCTCTTTGAGGGAGAAAGGGAAATAATATTTGAGTGATTACTGTGTGCTTGTCCTTTTGATAGGAATGCCACATACATGGATTCTGTAACTCTTGTATTAAGACTGTAATATGTTCTCATTTTAAGATGAAAAATTATGTTAATTACTCAAGGTAATATTGCTTCTATCTGGAAAGCCGAGATTTGAACCTTAATTACAAAGTCCCCCTACTCTTGCCAAAATGCCTTCTTTGGTGTTCATTAAATACAGTAATGGGGCATTAATGGATGAAGACAACAACTAGATAGTGACACTTGGGCTTTCTTAAGATAAAGTCCTAAATTCTTTTTGGCCAGTGTGACTGTTTCTTAAATATTCTGTTAATTAGTTTTAAAAATAAATTTCTACTCATTAGCTATTCTTACATTAAATTTGATTATTTTAAAATTATATATCACTCTTCCTCGATTTTACATTGATAGTACACTCTGGGAAGGCTTGCCTATTTTGACCTCTTTATTGGCTTTTGACTCATTCTTAGCATTTTTTAGGCAATCTTAGCTTGGTATGGAAATAATCTATTATCTTAATCTTATTTAAAAATTACATGTTGTCATTAAGTTGACAAATGCATTATTGTGCTGCATCTAACACTTTCTATAGAAGTTAATATTGAAGCTACATTCACTATATGTATTTTAAATTTTGCCAGCACCTATCAGCAGACTTTTTTATGTTCCCATAAAAGTAATCTTATTGCTAATCTTGCTGTTATCTTTTAACTTTTAGCTGGAATATTAGTTTTAAATCTTAGAATTTCTTGTAAGTTCTTCTTCTGTTTTTTTTTTTTTTTTTTTTTAAAATTCAGGAACAGCATATGCCATATATCAACTGGCTATGGCTTCCTTTCCCAAGAAGCAAGATTGACTTCAGGTTATCTTCCCAGCAATCAGTTTGTTCAGTTTCATTCAGCTCTCTATGGACCAGTAAACTGATAAATAACTGAATTCTTGGGGGATTAATATTTATTGACTTGTACTAACTGCCACCAATAAAGCAGTCTTCACCATGCTTTGTCTTATTTTATCACTTTAGGATACATATACCAATAATTTTCAGCTTTTGGTCACTCTTGTAAATTGTAAGTAAGGAGCAAAAAATGACTCTTCGTCATTAAGGTTGTACAAAGTACCATTGTGATATTATTTTAGTGAAATTATATTTTTAGCAGCTCAGAATTAACATAGTGGGTGGTCTTCAGCTTTAATTGAGCTTGACATTTGAAAGTCTCGCTTCCCAATATGCTATACCCCGGGATATGCTAAACCTGAGATTAGTGGAAGCAGGTTATTTTTGGCTCTTGGGATTCAAGTTTCTTTTTTTCCCCTCTCTCTTAGCTATGTGAATGTATATTTAAATGTCGGATGCATTCCACAGTTTAGAATTAGGCTTTAGTAGAGTAACTGTAAAGTAATTCAATATTTGTTCTTTTGTATTACTTTAATCCATAACATAATTACATAAGGAAAATGTAATTTTCCTTAAATACTTAGTTTATTTTTAAAAGTAATCTTCTGGGAGAACTTAGAGAGTTAAATTTTGTCATCTCTGTAATGTGTATATTTGTAACACTATATGAAGTTTAGAGTCTAGCTGCATCACTTCTAGGCAAAATCTATGAGTAAGGGTTTTATAAATTAATTTCTGTATAAAATTAAGAAAAGTAGTATATTACAAAAATTGAGTCAAATCTGAAATAGCCAAGCTAAACCTTTTCCTTTTAGGACATTGAGGCTTAGGATTCAAATCGATCTCAAAAGGTACCTAATAAAAGGTTTTTCAGCCTTGAATCTTGAAGGAGGGAAAGGGTCTTTTATAGCCATACTGTAAAACCTGTCACTAAATGCATGAATGTGCCAAACCGCTGACAAAATCATTACTAACATCAGCAGAGAATACTGCTTTTGAAGGGAGTTGAATAAATATCATTAGACATTCCTGAATACTGAGAAAGTTCAGGTGGTCTGGAATCTGGTTCAGTTCAGTAATTCAGAGCAAAAAAGCAACCAATGATAATATTTTGGAACACCATGTTTAACAGCATTTTCTAAAGAATTTCATAAACATGAAATGCTTTTATGACATGATGTGAGAGATAAAAAAAAGCTTGATACCTCTACAACCTTCATGTCTTGCTAATATGAAAGGTGCTTTACTATTTCTGGTATAACCTAGTGAGGCAATTTATAAAACATTTTTCACACCCAAATGTTTGTTGTGGGCTATGTTAATATGGTGAGCTTTGATAAAGTAAAAGTGGATTAAGTGCCTAAGGTACTAAAAATTTTTTTGCTAAGATTAAATATTTGCTCTTCATCCTAAAATTCTGCTTTGAGCAGGGGTGGAGATGGGGAAGCAGGCAAGGGTCAAGATTACAGGAGAGGGGTTGCTGAATAGATTCCTGTGAAAATGTCTGCTACTCTTAGTATTTAGTAAGAGATATTACTATTCTTGATAGATTCCAAAGACTAACCAGAAGTCTATAGGGCAGAATCCATAAGAAATAACTGTGTTGAAAATGTAGCCTTCAGGAAACAAGACAATCGTCATTCCAATTTCCTTTTTATCTTTACTATAGGAGATATATTTAAGTAAAATTTTCTTACAATTAGTACTATGCACAAAATTAACATCTGTATTCTGTAGCTTCTAGATGAAGTTAAATCATATTTATAGATGAAAAAACTAAAGCTTGGAGAGGGCATGCAGTTTATCCAAAGCTACAAAAAAATGGCAGCACAAGATTTTAAATCCAGTTTTATCTGATTCTTAAAGTTCATGGTTTTTCTAGTACATTTCATCTTATCAGATATTTAATTAAATATCGATTGGCATAGCTTCAGTATACTGTTTAATAGCAATGTATGCAAAACTGAATACCCTACAGACTTCTATCCTCTGTATAGTTAAGCTTAAAATAGTAATCAGTACAGTCTTCAGTTTCACATTGACGTCTATATGTAATTTGTAATCTGCCTACCTACTTAACATGTCTCTTTCACTTTCGTTTGAGGTCCAAACTTAGTGCTCTCATTACTGTGTAGCTCTGCTGCTGCTTGGTGCATGCATACTCATTCTTGACATCCTGGGACAGCTCTCCAGATTCTGCTGGAACCTTTGACATTCTCTCCTTTGTTCCCAGTGTTCCCTGTACTCCTCTTCATCAGGAGTTTCATCCCTTTGAATTTGAATTCAAATTTGAATTATAATTGTCGATAAGATTGGGAATCAGTATAACGTTATAGTTAATTATGGAGATGATGGAGTCAGAAGACCCAGCTTCCAGCCATGGATTTCCATGGTTAGCTAACTTTGCTAAGCCTGTATCTTCATCTATATAAATGGAATCATATCTAGAGTAGATATTCTAATGCATATTTAGCACAGAAGATGGTTTCTGACACTAAGTGTATAATAACATACTTCTGTTGTTAGTTCAGAGAAGGAACTATATCTTTTCAACTCATATTCCTATGAACTTGGCACAGAGCAGGGACTATGAGCTGCTGGTCATGGCTGGTAGGGCAAGTTCACAATTTCATCCATGTCCTATGTGACTTCTGTCTTTTGGCTCTGCTATCCTTGGTGTAGAGCTTTCATTCTCCTTGTGAAATGGCTGCTGCAGCTTCAGCTGTTTTGTTTTCCTGCAGAAAGAGGGATTGATGCAAGAGCACATGCTAAATAAGTGAGCTCTCTTTAAAGAGCTTCGGAAGCCCCACACAAAGACTTCAGCTTATATCTCTTTGGGCAGACCTTTGTCACATGATCATGCCCAGTTTCAGAAAGGCCAAGAAATGTCTTAGCTGGATATATGGCCAAACAAAATTGGAGTTCTATTTAATAAGAAGAGAAGACTGGGTATTGAGTTGGCAACTAAAAGTCTTTCCCCCAGCTAGTTTATTTTTTAAAAGAATGAAGTCAGCACTGGAGGAGAGAGGACCTAGAATTTTGGTTCCTAGCTCTAGTTGTTTTGATGCCCACATCCATGCCTGTTCTTAGACTTGGTTGCATTCCATTGGGCAATAATTTTCTCTTTTTGCTTAAGTCAGTTCAGGTAGATTTCTCAGCCAAGAACCAACCAATGCAGGATTTCCTGAGTTCCCCATCTACTATACCATCTAATAAAACAACTCTACCATTTACCCTAAATGATAGATCCATCCATCCGTCCATCCATCCATCCATTTATTACACATCCATCTAAATGATAGATGTGTAATAAATGGTATTCATTACTGGTTTCTCATAGAAATGTTTCAAAAAGATTTACTTGGGAAACAAAAATGCAAATAAAGAATAGAAGAATGATGAAAACAAAGATTATGGTGCTGCTCTAGCCAGTTCTGCGTCAGTGTTTGCTGAACCCTTCCTGCTATTCGATCTAGCTTGGGACTCCCTCTTCCTGGGTCCTGGCATGCATCAGTGTGGAAAGCAACATTTCGTGAACCACTACCTAAGATTTTCATATATTCATCAAGATTACTAATTCAAGTTAATAGGTGTTGAGTGCCTGCTATGTGTCAGACACTACTGTAGGTGCCTAGGAATCACTGTTGAACAAAATATACCTTCAGAGTTTACATTATAGTGAGGGGTGGCAGGGAAGACAGTTAATATGAAAATAAATTGTATAGTATGTTAGAAAGTAATAAGTTCTAGGGGGGAAAAGAACAAAGGGTAGAACTGGCAAGGGGGTGGGATGATTGGAAGAGACCAAAGGAGAGAGCTGGCATGGAGGTGGGAGTATAGCAGCAGTAAATAAGGAGTGAGGATTGGCTTCAATGGGAAGGTCAGATTTAAATAAAGACTGTAGGTGAAGGAGCTAGTCAATCAGCTACATGAGGAAAAGACAGGAAAGGAGTACAGCTTAGGGCAAATGCCCTAAGGTGCCCAGCATGTTCAAGGAACAGGAAAGCAGCAGTTACTGCTTACTGAGGGAAATGTCAGGTACGGAGGGACCACACCAAGCAAGGCCTTCTAGGCTATTTATAAGGACTTTGGCTTTTACTCTTGAAGATATAGGGATCCATTGCGGGATTTCTCAGAGAAGAGAGACTTACGTGTTTTAAAGAGGATTAGCTTTGTAGTCATGTTGAAATATATCTTAGAAGACCCAGGATAGAAGCAGGCAGACTCACTAAGAAACCTGCTAAAGCAATCCAGGTGAGAAATGATGGAGGCTAAGAACAGGAATTAGTTATGGAGGCAATCAAATGTCAGGCTGTGAACAGAGGAGGATCTTTATCAACAACCTAGACCTTGCCTTTCTCAACCAACCAACCATCCATCCATCCATCCATCCATCCATTCATCCGTTACTTACCGAAAGCCTACTTTGTGTAAGGCAGTGTTCTGGGCTGTAAAAATACAACTGTGAACTGGACTAGCAAGCTCTTTCATGGATCTTACATTCTAGTCAGTAGAGATAGACAAGTAAATAAATTCAAAAGCATGATAATGGTCAACAGTGGGAACTGCTATAAAGGAATCAACAATGTAAATGAGATCTCAGGAAAAATGGTGGAGTGGAAGCTGGAAAAGGCCTCAGAGGAAGTGACATTTGAACTGAGACCAGATGTGAAGAAGGAGCCAGTTGTGCTAAAAGTCAAGAGAAAAGCATTCCAGGGAAAGGGAAATTGCTTTGTATGGTTGAAGTACAGTAAGACCAGTGTTGTTGGAACATAAGGAGGTGGAGAAAGCAGCAATTGTTAACTCTTCCCCAGAGACTAGCACAACAAATGACCATGTCCCTACACAGATTGGTCTTTTCTGGTTTCATAATATGCATCACAATCTGATAACCACAGTATTGATTTAACAAGAAGTTTAAACAAACTAATATGTGGACATTCTATCCTAGTTTGTCGTTAATTGTTATTAGCAAGACCTAGAAGCTGAGGAAATATAGGTAGCAAGAAATCAAACAGCAATTATTTTGAACTAGATTTCAAATTGAGATCTGTCTTATTCGGAAACTCACTGTTTAATTACTGTGTACCATGTTACTTTCT